AAGCACTTTAACACTGCACAAAAAGGTTTTCGTTCTTTTTGTAAACCAAGAAAAAAGAATAAAATTTACAAAAGTTTATATGAATTAATACCTAAATCCCCTTCTCCCCCACACCCCATAAAGTGAATAATTAGATGAAGGAACGTAAGTAATTAAAATATATGAAATAAATGAGTAACTATGAGTAAATAATCTTCAAAATATATTAATGATAACAAAAGAAATTATATAAACTTGAATTTGTTATTATTGATAACAATGAAAAAATAGTCATTACTAAAGATTAATTGCATTAATTTAATCATTACTGAAGATTAATTACAACATCTACAGTTGAGATTAGTTGCAACACCTCTAATCAAGATTAATTGCAACACCTTTATTTAATTTTTCGCATCTCTAAAACACACTCACTCAGTACATCTTAATGATAAATCAACCCAAATAAATTTAAATTTAATAAGTACATGAAACAGTGAAAATCATCAGTGCTATTAAATCTTTATGCCATACAATTTTCACTTTCAAAAATGATAATTAAAGAACACTGAAATTTTCCAAAAATACATTTCAATTAAAGATTTAAAAGATACAGAGAATGAAAAGGGAAAATTTACATCTCACAACAAATAAATTATTATTGTCGCTCTTTCTTTTCTTATTTGTTTAATTATTTTTTTTATTTTTTTATTTTTTTTTTTTTTGAGATCTTTAACACAGTAAGCCTACAGCGGTATTACAAGAAAGCCTAGATTTATGCAAAGTAATTAAAGTAAAAAAAAATGATTGAGCAAATAGTAAGAAATAGCATTGATAAACATGAATTAATTACATGAAAATTCTAACAAAATTCGTGAATGACACTTAAGCCAAAACTTACAACAACAAAAAAAAAGGCCTAGTTCAAGAGGAAGAGATACTATTATTTCACAAGACATCATTAATCCATAAAACTGTATGGTATTTCACGGCTATGACTCCAGCTTGAGATAACTGAGATAGCTGACTGTTGCTGAATGTATGTAATTTAACGTTTTGTTTCTGGTTGTGTGTGAATTGTATATTTTGGTTTCAGCACGCATGCTGCATGTTGTGATTTTGTAAACAATAATTTTGTTTACTTTACCTTTTTTTTTTTTCACATTATCCGTTACACTGACAGTTAAAATATTTTATGCTTAATATAATTTAAATATTTATTTTCAGTATATTTTCAATGTCACCGCTGCTACATCATTTGCTTTCCATTACACGAACGCAGTTATCTCGAACGCAGCTAAAGCAAATGACGAAAGCTTTCAGTGGAAGTCAAATACGAAATACTCATCCTGCAACGAGTTAGTTAATAGCTTTATTGCGTCTACGTTTGCGTTGAGTGACCTTGAATTTTTCAGACAAAATTGTAAAATGATTCAAGTCATTTACATGTAATTCATATTTTATTTGGGTACCGTATTTTTTCATCAAATATTTCTTTTTTTTTTTTTGCATGTGTAAAATACTCATAAAAAAGTATTGCGTCTAAAAGAAATGCACTTTTAGTATAATTCATGGAAACTTTATATTGTAGACTATGATGAAGAAGCAGATGATCGTGATCGTTTCAAATACGACAAATTTTATAATGCCGTAGTAATGTATGGTTCACCAGTGGTACTCGCGATCCTTTTTTATGTAACTTATTTGGGACATCAGATGGAGGAACATTTCGATCAAGACAAATATGTTCACTATCCGTATCTCACTGTTCGCAATAAGGTTAGTTGAATTTGAAGTGAATATTTTACCTTTTAAAAATTCTGTTACATAAAGATACTAGTTGAAATTTTTTTGTCATTGATTTTTTAGCCGCTTCCATGGGGTGATGGTAATCACTCACTGTTCCACAATCCAGAAAGAAATTACGTGCCAGGTGTTGGTTTCGAAAAGAAACAAGAAAAACACCACTGATTTTGTCATTTATTTGGAAGTGCTCTGTGATTTTATTTCATTTCTATCAACTGTTTTATATTTATTATACATCTGAGGATTTACTAATGTATAATCGAAAATATTCACACTTTTTTACTGTCGATTACTGCAGAAAGTGTACTGAGTTATTTTATTCTTTTGAAAGTCAGATAGTTTATCTTTGCTATACATCTGAGAGGCTGAGCCTTATACATACGTTATAGACATAAAGCCTATTGAGTACACTGTGAAGAATAAATGGAAAGAATGAATTCCAAGGTTGGAATATTTTTGCTGATACTCTTTTTCGATGCATTTCATATTTTATGATTTTTTTATGGTATGAAAAGATCAGGAAAAATAAATTTAAACTGAATGCGGAAATCACTTCCACGACTCATAATTTCCCAAATATCATTTTAACGGTCAAGTAATTCTTTTCATAACATCTTTTAGTTTCTTAGTGGATATCTAGCGTTTGATAGTTCATTTGTATGTCACGCAAATATGAAAGCACATCCATAAAGGACCTTTTAATGAAGGTTTCTAGTGCTATTAATTAGGATTTTATATCGAAGTGTAATAAATGTGCAGTGAACAAAGTTTATTGCCTCACACACTACATTGGTTTACAACGAATGGCTGATTTTAGAATTATTCGATGCGAAAGCTTCTTTTTTTTTAAAGAAGTAACGCAATGCTTGGAAGCCATGCTTCGTTATCTCTAAATAACTTGTGGTAGTGTTCATTCAAAAGTAAGATCCTTGTCAGTTGCATAAGATATTTATGTTTCATGGGTTTCATGCTCGAATTGTAACATTCTTGTATTACAACATTTCAGTTTTCGGCTGCTTGTAACCTAAAGTTTGCTCATTAAGTACTTCCGAGTATACTGTACGGTAGGAATTCAAATAAAAAAATCACATTCAGAATCCTATCAATTCACATTTATCTATAATTGTTCTTGTAAAATCTTAGAAAAGCATCAAGTATGACTGAAACATTTTATAAATCTAGTCCAAAGCTACATTATTATGATAAATTTAACAAGTATTCGTGAAGCAGTTATTATTGAAATTTGATCTAATTACAAATTCAATAATACACACATGTATGATTATACAGAAAAGATCAATGACACTATCATTTCTATCATTTTAATTCAAAAATGACTATCATGGTGAATACGGAAGCTTTTTTCATACGCCTAACTAGGTCAGGTAAATCTGTCTGTAATATACTAAATTACAAAAGTAGTAGAATCACAGTTTTTATTATTAAAGTATCAATTACTTGTCAAAAAAGATAACGTATTTGATTAGCAAACGTTATCAATGAATTATATCGAAATATAAAATTAGCTAATAGAAGAAGTGGAATTCACTATTATTAATATGTCTTTTACTACATTTGAAATAAATCAGTAAAAGACAGGAAAAATACTGGATTGGAAAATGATAAAAATTCATTATAAAGGAATTATCAAAAAAAAAAAAAAAAAAATTGTTTCAAATATTACACTCTTATTTGCAGTATATAATAATTTTTATTTTAAATATTAAAAAATCGGTAAATGATTTCTTTTTTTTTCTCTAATTTTTCTATCTTTCTACATTAATCCAATTTGTTCGTTATTTAAATAGCACATTAATTCCTTAGCGTAGTTATTAATTTTCCAAGGAACTCATACATAAATATATTTTTATTCTTTCTTTCAAAAATTTATTGAAGAAAATTGTGGATAATTTTTAATTATTTTTGAAATAATAACTGAATAAATCTGATAACTCAAGTTTTATAGTTCGAAGGAATATTACAATGCAGTTAATATGATTTAGTTTAAACAAATGATAATTTAACACATTTCAAAACAATCGATATTTTCTACTCCTTTAGAAAAAATAAGAAAAAGCAAATATAAATTAATAGCAATCATCAGTTTTTATCAAATTTATCAACAATACAAGCAAATTATCTTTAAATATTGAATCAGTATTTCAGGTATTATTATTATTATTATTATTATTATTATTATTATTATTATCATTATTATTATTATTATCATTATTATTATTAATTTCAAATACCTGTTCATTAATCAAACTTTTATTCGCAATATTAAGAATACATTAAGTAGCATTTAACAGATATAAAAACAAAAAAAAAAAAAAAATTGGATATAAAGAAGAATTTTCAATTTCGAAACAATTATATACCTGCTATTCATCTGTTGATATACATTGTCAAACTAATATTTACCATTTTATGATTTACATAAATTTGATTGCTTTTTAAATTTTGGACTAAAAAATTTTTTGGAAAAAAAAAAATTATAATTAATTACATATGAAATTTATGAATTTAGCATGCATGTACATATATTTCAACCATACATATTTCTAATAAAATTTGATTACAATTTTTACTTAATCATAAATCTTTTACTGAATTTACCAAATGTATCTTTTCCTTTACAAATCTTATCAAAAAAAAAAAAAAAAAAAACCTACTTCGATTATTTATTAAAATAATGTAAAAGAAATGAAACAAAGTTATAATGAGAATGCTAACAAACTTTGATCAAGGTAAAAAATTTCGAACAAATATTTTTCAAATGTTACGTTATTTTAATAAAAAATGTTGGCGCATTTTTTCATAAATCAAATATAAAATTCGGTCTACTTAGAGCATGTTAAGTAGAATAGCAGAAGAATATGGTTTGATAGCCAACAATTAAGCGTATCAATGGAAAAAAATCATTCAGTAATGAATGATCCATTATTTTTTATCACATTTAATTTAATAGGAATAGCACTTTTTTCTTTTGAGAAAAGGAATTAACTTTGGGGATTTTTTTTTTCTTCTTCAAATATTTGTGTTTGATAAATATAAAAATAAATTGATAATAATTTGAGATAATCTATTTTTGTAATTTAGAATTTTCGGCACACTTTTAAAGATGTGTTTTTAATAAATTTTCGTCTTCAATTCAATTTGGAGTTTAAAAAACTTTTTTTTTTTTGATTCCAAATATTATGATGATTTCAGTTATGTGTTGTAAGCTTATTCCTTCATTTTGCATGCTTTTATCGGTAGCAAATGCAGTGCATTTGGGACATTATGGTCCGCAAGAAGAACATTCTCAGGATGTGCAACCACAAGAAATGCAACGGAAAAGTATAAAATTACTACGAATGGGACCGCAGATTATGCCACCGCAAGGTATGCCACCACAAGGCATGCCACCACAAGGTATGCCACCACAAGGCATGCCACCACAAGGTATGCAACCACAAGGTATGCCACCACAAGGCATGCCACCACAAGGCATGCAACCACAAGGTATGCAACCACAAGGTATGCAGCCACAAGGTATGCGACCACAAGGTATGCAACCGCAATACATCGGACCACAAGGTAATTAATTATGATTACACATTTGTATCCACAATGCTTACTTCTTACAGTCTTCAGTCATCATTCAACTGATTTCAGCTGTTGATAAAAAGTGTGCTGGCTGCATAATAAATATAAATTGTGGCGGTGCAGATTGTATGCCAACGGTAACACAACAAACGCCAACACCACCGATTTGGACGTTACCACCCACGCAGACACCAGGATGGACTCCTGGACCACCGCTAACTCCAAAACCAACGGCACCTCCGCATGTGACGCCAGGAGGTTGTCGTTTGTGTCCATGTTACATACCTCCTCCTTGTCAGATATGTCAACCATGTCAATGAGAACTATGAGCACTTCATTCAACCATAGCTAAAACAAAAAAAAAAAAAAAAACAATTTTCTATTTCATTATTATTCCTCAGTAAAAGACTTAGTAAATTTCTTGCAAACATATAGCAAAAGACAGTTTTAATAAAATAAATTTGTGAGATTGAAAATTCAATTTCATTACGATCAATGTTTTGGTCTGAAGTCAGCAAAGATAATTGGAAACAAATTTTGCTCATAAAGTATAATATTAGATTTATCTTAGATTATTAAACTATCCTAGAAATGGCGCAAAAGTTTCATCAAAAGAAGCGCCATTGTGAAATTCTTATTATACAGTTTCTGTGCATTAATTATTTTCTGTGGAAAAATTGAAAGTTCGAATTGTGAATAAAATTCATTAAACCATTTTGATTGAAATACAACAGTAATCACATCTAACTTAATTTTTTCAGCTTTTTACAAACAGTTTTTGCTATTTATAAGATTTGACATTAAAAAGATTTCTCTATTTCTCATCAACTCCAGAGATTTAGTAAATAGAGTTCTTAACAATTAATTTAAATCGTAAACTGAAACTTAGTCTGAACTATTAATACGTATCCAAATCATTTGCTCTCTATTTGCTTCAAGTTTCCTTTTTTTTTTTTTCTGAACTTCAGTCATTTGAAAAATTGAAACTAAAACATAAATGTCCCTCGTTCAGAGGTGAAAACCAACGTTTAGAGTACAGTTCACATTCCTTTCCTTAAAAAAAACAAAGAGAAAGAAAAGTATAAAACATTCTTCTAAAGGTTATTAAATGAAAAATGTTGCAAAGATATTTGTTTTATTTCAAATCAAGCGGAAGTTCAAATCGAACATTTGTGGAACATAAACGTAAGCTCAGTTGAAACGTAAACTCATCAAGTCTGAAGCAAACAAGCGTGGTTAACTCTATCACGTCTATATACCACGATTCAAAGCATACCGGATTTCAACCGAAACACTCTGCATTCTTCCTGATTTCCGGATTTAATCCATTAAATTGACTTAAATTCACTCACACTATTAGAAAATAATGCTTTGCTACATACTTTCTCAGCTTTACAATTTTAAATTGTTATCAGCTGTTGTACTTTCATCCCATTACTGATACCAAATAAACTATTACGTAGAGACAATCGGATATTGGTGAACAAGTGTGCCAATAACGTGAAATATTTTCCACCTAATAAACAACCATTATTATACGTGAAAAGTTTGCTACTTTTAAACGTCGTAAAAATTATACTATTTTAAAGAAGCAAATAGTCTTCCACTCTACAAAATATACATTCTTCTCTAAGCACAGTTAATCAAACAACAGTTCTGTGCAGTTCGGACTTTAACATTAATAATTTTTTGTTAGAAGTCGAACAACGGATTAACAAATTGCGAAGATTAATAATGAATGTTTTTAATGATGTGTCACCTTATTGATGTTCTGGTAGTAAATAAATGAAAAGACAGTCAATCTTTCCTAACCGTCAAAATATCTATGTAAAACTCACTGCAACCAAAATAACAAAACAAAATTTTGGAAACAGAGAAGTAAGCAACAAAAACAAAAAATGAATTAAGTGTGCTATGTCATACATACAACAATATAACAGTTTAATTTTTTGGAAAAAAATTTTAAAATAGATATCTGTCCATCAGTTTTAATAGCGCTTGATGCATTCAAGTACGTGAAACACACGTAAATGCCTATGGCTTAGTACTGTTAACAAATCTGAGTAACAAAATAAATCACTCACGCACGTCAGTTACACTTAATAAATTCATAATAAAAATGGCCGATGTCCGGGAATTACCTGTTGGAGTGACTCCGTCCACTTTGTAATTAATTGTTTCACATTGTTGTACTATGTCTAATTTGATGCATTTAGTTATTTTGTGATTCTTTGATTCGATGTCCTTTACAGTTATATTGAACAGAATTAGATTACGTTGACAGTGACCAAAACCAAGTTATAAATATCAAAAAAAAAAAAAAACACCTAATTTAATTTAGTATGTGAAGATTGTTGCAATTAACTTTATGAAATAACAGAATTTGATTATGTTAACAGAATCAGATTATATTGAAGGCATTTAGCTAATTCTTAATTAGACGAAGTTTAATCTGGTGTATATTTCCTTATATCAAGCTTAAAATTTACTTTTATTATTGTTATCATTAATAAATATTACAGCTGCTTTTCTCATGGAATTATGACTGATCATTGTTGCGATCGTTTAAATTAGCCATAATAAATTTGGGTCATGTTGGGTTTTTTAATGGAAAAAACAATTTGCTGTTCAGTACAAAGTGTGAATGTTTTAAAAAAAGGTAAGATTCTATAAATCTTTGGACAATATTAATGAAATTTTTCACGAAATGTAATTGTTAGAAAAATCATCAGTTTCTGTTCAGATGTTCATTAACTTTTAGTGCTTATTAAGAAACTAATGAATAATATTTATTGTTTGTAAGAAGAGAAAATTTTTGAGAATTAATTAATGGAAATTTAATATTAATCACTCTAGCATTTTTAATCTTCTCATATTTCTTCCGAAAATTCATTCTTTTCTTTGCTTTAGTTTATAATATTCTTCAGGATGTCGTGCGCTCCACAACTTTGATCGACAACGACGTTTGGAACTATTTTGTAATGAACAACAGCGGCAAGCTGCGATTCATGATAAAAAAGTTGAAAAGGTCTGTTTTAAGAAATGAAATTCAGAGTAAGCTTTATGTTAAATCTTGCGAGTCAAGCTCATAAATACTGTTCCTTCTAGGTAGACTTAGTCTGATCAAATTATAATGTTATATGTTTAAAATATAAAAGCGCTATGCAAAAATTTATTTGATCGTCCAGTGTAGGAACGCTTAATATGTCGCTCAAAATAAAACATTAATTTTCCATGTAAAATTAATGCATTGGAATTCTTAGGTGTTTTGGACAATTGAAAATGAAGCTGGTAATGATCCCGTCAAAGTTTTGATGAATCAAAATATTTCAACCTTTCATGATTGTATGAAGCGTATGTTTAGTTAATGTCTATAGAGATTTGTCCAAAGACTTTAAGTTGCAGTTCAAATTTAGTTTAAATTTTATTTTCAAGGTCATTGTTTCAAAGTTTATTGCTATTCCATTCGATTATATTGCATCGCATATGTACATCAACTCTTTCATTAATATCCGAAAAACAGCTACGGCTAGAAATTCATCCTCGTTGATCCTAGTTGTTTTATTCTATTGTTTATTATTGTCTCTTTGGAAATTAGTAACTGGTAATGTTAAATTCAGATATTTCACGGTTAAAAGCTGACCGCATGGCATTAGCATATGCAAATGGTTCTTACAAGTCAGTATTGGAGAAGTTATCGGGTAATGGAAGGATGATGCCATTAGGTTATAATTGCCAAAATAAAAACCACGCCAATGCTGTTAATATGGTATTAAATTTGTTCTTATTCATTTATTTGTTATTAATATCTTTTTTTTTCTAATTTGTTTAGTATTTCTGTCGTTATTCTTTTTATTTTTAGATAAGAAGGGATTAAATAGTGAATGAAATTATCTTTTTTCTGAAAGGTATTAATTTTGGAAAATATTTTTGCAGGCTTACTGGCGGTCATGTGCATTTTTGTTAGGTGCTGTTGTTGATCAAGCATTTGCCGTTGATGTGCAGCTAGTTGGTCCTTCGAAAGTGGATTGTAAGTTGTAATTTCGCTCACATCGTTATGATTTTAGACATGATCGATAGCCCATTTCGATGTGAATATATCGGTTATAATTTGATTTTGTCTGTTTTTTGTTGTAAAACTAATATTATTTAGATCATTCGGGTAGGTTTGAATATATTGCGAAAATAAAAGATCTGCATGATTGGGCACCAAATTCGGTAAGTGTAGAATTTCTCTCTTTATATGCAAGAAATTAAATAAAAGAATTCTTTTCAATAAGATTACAATTTTCATAAAATAAATCTACATTTGACAGGACTACTTTATTCTTATCTTACCTAAATTTACTTATAATCAAGACAGTTCTCTATTCGTACCACTGTAGCAAGAAGCACCCATTCATTATATTCCTTTGTTGTATTTCATTTTTTATTCCTTAATATTTCACACGAATTTATAGGAAAATTTATTTGCGCTGACTGAAAAAGTCGTTGGAGAGTATATCACAAAAGCTTTGGTTATCGAACCATTATTTGTATCATTAGAATTTGCATTGGATTTATTTGATTCAAATATGTATGCATATTTTTAATTATTTAATTTGCAGTCATCCTGGTTTCAATATTATTTGTTATTCGTTTATTAAATAATCAATTTGCGAGTTTGTAGTTCTAAACAAGAACTTCTGCATGAAATAAAACAAGAAACCGATAATGGTGAGCAAGGAGTAATTATCTATCGAATGGGTGATTTTGTCGATATAACTTATGGACCTTTGATTCCATGTACCAGCCACATTGATAAATTTGCTGTAACTAAAGTAGTTATTTATTTTATTTATTTTTTTTCAAACATTTTTGACGAGTTCAGCTGAACAACGATAGTAGGTGCACGACGATTTTAATTGATCATACCTTGTTGTTTATTACCTTAACTTTCATAAACATTGTGCTAATGCTACTGAAATTGATAAAAGAATTTCGGACTTACCGTGTATGAGATAGGGCGAAAGAATATAAAGATATTTAAGTACCTTTGTAATTAATAGCTTTCAGGTGGAGCACGAAAATTCTGAATATCGTTTCATTGGTGTGTCAATACCGAAAGAATTGAAATGTTCATCATATTCGTGGGATATAATTTGTGATGCTTCAGTTATGCCTCCTGTTAAGCAACAAAAGTTACTTAAGGCTTCTGTGTAAAGTTTACTGTTACATAGTCTGTGGTTCCAGGTTTCTTTTTTCTTTTTCACTGTAAAATACTATGCATAGTTAAAATACTAATTGCAATCCGACCTGTTCACGCTTGGAGTCTGATTTT